TTATGGTAGTAAAAATAGGAAATAATCTAAAGGTCAACATAAACAAAATGCTGAAAAATAATTTTTAGTTAGCCATTTTAAATAAATAAAACTAGCATGAAGGCAGCAGAGTAAAACAGAACTATGTTTATAACTGAATGGTTAACAGATAATAAGTCAAAATAATCTCATTATCATTGAACGAACCACTTCTAATACCTCTATTAAAATTTTATAAGTTTATGAAGACAAAGATCAAGTAACACTAAACAGAAACGATAAGTTGGAACTATTAGAGGAAACACACAAATTTTTTTCCTTCACCTCTAACAATGGTGTTCAAGCTTCAGGGGAAAACTTAATAGTTTCACATTATATTATGAAATATAACCCATGGAGAGAGAAAAAAAGACATAACTGCACATGATGAAACCTGTCCAGAAAACAGTGTAAGCCATGACATAGAAATCTGGCTTCCCCCCCAAATTCCTCCTCTGCCCCCTTCAGTCACGCTCCCTCCGTTCCTGCAGACGCCAGCACTCTTCTGTTGGGTGTACTAATTTCCTTGGATTGCATGAGAGTTTGGGCACTCACGAATGAATCTCTAAAACAGAGGTTAGCCCTGCCTGTTACGTGGATTCTGTGGCGGTCAGCTTCTTTCCCAGACCATGTTTATAAAATGGATCCACAGGATTGCGATCCCCACTCATTCACCGTCACTCCTGTAAAGCCTTCCATTGTAGGAACAGATCACGGTTTATTCATACGTTGTACCATTAGTGGACATTTGGGCTGTCTCTGGTTTGGGGCATTAGGAAACAGGCTGGGATGAAACTTCCTTCCGTAAGAGCTGAATGCGAGTCACAGTGTGCGCACCGCAGTCACCGCCCCGCCACGCTGTGTTCCAAAGTGGCAGGACGTCCCCTGAGGCAGGCAGGCTGTGGGGCCCTGCACCCTCTCCAGCACCTAGTCAGTCAGGGCTGCTCACATCTGCCCATCTTAGAGTTGTGCAGTAGGATCTCATTCTGTCTTTACAATTCCCTGATGACAGAAAGTTTGAATATATTTTCAGGTATCCATTGATCATGTGGAATTACTCTTTTGTGAAGTACACTTGTTCAAATCTTTTCCCATTTTTAAAAATTGTTTTGACTTTTTTAATTTACATGTTCTGAGTACTAATCTTTTGTTGGTTATATCCACTACAATTTTCTCATTTTGTGGATTATCTTTTCTCTCTCTGCACTGTCTTGATAAACAGGAATACTTAAGTTAGTAGAAAAAATTATCACTCATTTTTTATTAAACTTAGGATTTTTGTGTCTTGGAAAATCCTTTTTTTTTATCCTAAAGATATGATGATAATTTCCTACATGATATTCTAAAATATTTATAGTTTTTCTTCATGTATTTACATCTATAATACATCTGGAGGTGATTTTTTGACTGGGTCCAATTTCATTGTTCTTCTATAGGGCTTGGCATTACCTCTCTGACAATTTTTGTTTTATGTATTTAAAACCTATGTTATTTACTAAGTAATCACAAATTTAGCAGTATTTTATTATTATATCTACTTTGGTAGATCTATCCTTTTATCATCATGTAATGCTGTGTATGTGGTGAGACTTCTTGCCTTCGATTGTGTTTTGTCAATATCAGCTTATTTTTTGGTTTTTGGATTTAAAATTAAAACAAAGGTTGAGGGTTGCATGTCTTAGCAGAATAAATTTCAGAATCTAAAACATCTTATTAAAAACAACTGTACCTATTAAACAATTCACTTTCACTACATGAAGAACAAAGGTACACAGGACTTTATTAATAAAATCACTTTATTAATAAAATCATCTCAAGATGTTTGAATACTCTAACCTGTAATCTAATTATTTTTGACTGCTCACACAGACACTATATTACTATCAAAGAGCTCCTTGCTTGAGTCTTCCTGGAATTCCCAAAAGTTTGAATGTAAAACAGCAAATCTTATGTATAAAGAAGGCAACAGAAATTAACGATACTGCATAAACTATTATTGAACTATACACTGGATTTGCAACAGTGAAAAGTAATGTTTCCCAGTAGAAGGAAAGTTCTCTTACCTAGATACTGCCTTTCCAAGGCTACTACCCAAGCTCTTCCCCGAGGTATTACCACACCAAAGCTAAGGGTATGGTAAGCATTCTACCAGGTATTGCCATGCCAATGCTGATACTCAGGAATCTCAAACTTCTACTTGTTTCAGCATCACCTAAAATGCCTATGACAGATGCAGATGTCTGCTTCACATACCTTGACTTATTTTTGAGAAAATCTTTAGGTAATTTTGATACACATCAGATTTTTAAAACCACTACCATAGTTTAAAGAGGAAAAAAAAGAAGGTGAAGTGGGATATTATGTCAAAAAAATTTTATCAGAATACTCTAGCTGGTCTTTGGTTGTATTATCTTTGCAATATAATTTATGAAATTATGAGACATCTATAATTCCCAATTTAATTAGAATCCTTTTCAGTGCCAAAATGATTGACAAATCATGCATATAATAAATGCTAAATGTAAAACTAGAGAAGTAATTTAGAGTGAAAATTAATTTAAAATGCTAAGCAAATTAGAAACGAGGAAGAGAACACAGGTGAAAATGTTAAGTCTCCACTAGTTAATATACAGCGTTCACCTGTCATCTATAAGTAAAACTCGCAGAAGACGTCCAAAAGAGAAGAAAACACCACTGTTCACTTCACCAACTGCTAAAAAAGTATGTAATCTTGTCTCATGTAACAAACATTCATGTCCCAATCAATCTTCTTTGTTAAACATAAACTTGAAGCATCTTCATTTTGGAAATAAGTGGTTTTACAAAGTCCCTTTGTATGTTTTATTTGCTGCTATCTAGTATTACATTTTATACTCAAAGGGATTTTAAGCTCATTTAAAATGTTAATTTTTGTCTTACAACTAGTGTTATATTTTATACTGCCTTCCAATTCAAAGAATGATTTAAATGTCCTTTTGGGTAGTATATGCTCTTCAAAAATTTTGATGGCTTCATGTAAAATAGACAAAAACCACCATATATGATAGACACGTTAGACTGTGCTCCGTTCAGAAAGCAAGCTCAGTCTTGCTTCATTTGTCTGACAGATGATAACAGTATAAAGGTAATTCTAAATTAAAATATTTACTGTATGATGGCATGAGATGAAATTTAGCAAATCACTAGTTAATAAGTATACTGAGCAATGATAATGATCCCATAAAATTTTTAAAAAAACATCGTATTTCTCTCCTCTATTCAAAGACGTGACTCATGCTGGCACGCTAAAGTTGAACTCTTCCACTATGCTCTGTAAGCCCCACCAAGGCCACAGCTCCTGTGCCACCAGTCCTCTCACCTGGTTTCACAAAACTCCCCCAGAAATCTGCTGCTCCTTCCAGCTCTAGCTTGGAGAGTAAATGCTACCGCTGCATCTTCAAAGCCCCTCCGAAGTCTCACATCCTCCTGAAGGCAGGTGGTATCTCAATCACACCCCTTGTGGCCCACCCACCTTTATCTCAGTCTCCTCCATATCCCCTCACTCTCTTCCCTGCTGCTTTTGTTCCCTAACTGTTCCACGGATGTATCTCCCGTGTCTCTGAACTCTGTGGGCAGAGGCCATATTTCTGGGAAAGCAAAATAGTAGGGAGAAAAATTTTTGAGATTTTTAAGTTTCACTACATACCCCCCATGGGGTCTGTTGTCAGGAATAAAATAACTGCTTAATGAACTGGATCAAACAGTACAACGTTTAACAAACTGAATGTTATAATTACGTGGTAAAATGAGAGAATCTGGCAGCTACATTATTATACAAATTTTATAAATGCAAAAAAATTTAGTAGTAAAAATTTTTGTGCTTCTCACAGGTTCAGTTCTATTATTTCACTTGAAAGAGCTATGTTTAACTATTCCAAAATCCTTGGAATTCATGAGATGCAAACATTTAAACTTTTTCATTTATCTTAGGTCTTTATTAAGGGAAAATATAAATGCATTTACTAGACAGCTAAACTATCAGGTTCTGGTTTCACTGTTTGGTTTTCCAGGCTTTCTTCATCATTTCTGTGATAAAGTGATATACATAATCACAGATCATCAAAACAGCTACAAAGCCAAGGTATGTTATAGTGTTTTGTTTGTGAAATCCGTGTCCTATTTCCTAAGATAACTTTCCAAGTACATTTTGTCAACTTCATATCCTTTAAGGAAAACTAAACCAGGAAAAAAAAAAAAACTAAAAGTAAAATCTAGCAGATTAAATACAGCAAAGCAAAAGGAACATTTAGTGCTCTATTATAGGAAAAAGATTTTGATCCCACTCGAGCTTGCAGAAAGGAGAAAAGAAACAGAGAAGACCAAATTATAATGGTACTAATTTATTGATGTTGATATATGCAAGCCTTTTAAAACTGAAGATTAATTGCCTCACTCAACTTTTGAATATAAAAATTTAAAAATGTGGAATCCATGAATTAACTCATCCTAAATAGCCTCTGTAGAACTTTCTTCAATAATAAGAAAAAGACAGATGAAAGCCAGAGAGTGGCTCATTAGAGCTAGAATCAAGTCAGAAAAAACAACTAGTAATAAAACACTCCACATACTTAAATTTCTAAAAAAGGTAAAAATATACCTAGTCTAGACTACACAAATGTAAACGCATCCATAACTGATTCCAAACAATATGTCACTCAGCTCCTGTTAGGGTAAGTAGCTCTGACTCTATTCTTTGCTTTTCCTTCCAGGCCATTGCCTAACACTTCCAACCAACCCCTTTAGCATAAATATTAATACAAAGGCTGAAATTAAGCCACCTTTTTTTCTTCCAGATCTTCAGATTCACATAGTCTTTTCAAATACTGCTTCAAATGAGCTAAAGAAATATCTATATGACAGTAAGAATAAATAATAGGCATTCGTTTAGGCATTATAAAGTGAGTTCATAAGTATAAACCATGAAATTATAGTTCATTACATACCACAGCATTCAGGACATCTTGGATGTTTCAGGGTATTCATTCCATACCCTGGAAAGCAGCGATTAATCCAAACCATTTGGAGAGTACCTTCAATATAGTATATTTCAGGCAATGGCTCTGAACGTCTGCCTAGAACTTCTACTTGTTGATTAAAAAATCTCTCTATAAGATTTTTAGCCTAAAATTGAAATACAATATGAAAAAATTATTATCAGAAATAAATGTAATTTTAGAACAAATAAGGGTGCTTATGTACTTAGAAGCACTGAAAACAAATTCTTGAGGTCCTTATCCTATATTCACAGGACATAACGCATGTGAAAATTAAAAGATGTCACCTATAAACATCAAATTTCCAAATGTATTTCAAATACAACACAAAGAAATCATTCAGATATATAACCAACATTTTGGTCCCTTTAGATTTTGAATAATCTATGGATGGGCATATGAGAAAAATCAAAACAGCTTTTTGAAATGAAACCTCTCCAAGAAATGTACTCCAACAATTAATGTGATTTTTAAAAAACATGTACTTTAAGTATCTTTAAAAAGCATACCCTTTCAAAAGAAATACCCTCTGTTCTTTCCACAAAGAGAAATTAGGTTTAAAAACAGGAAATACAGCAAATGTTAAAATTTCCAAAATTAAATTTATAAAATAATTAAGGCATCACTCTGATCTATAATTACCTTTATGCTTGTAATAATTATTCTGGGCTGAACCTGAAAATTAACACGAGGCTTATGATTTTCAGTGTTAAAGCATGAGATAGGGCCACGAGTTGAAACCTTCTACAAGCCAGTTAATTCTCCTCCATTTTACCCTTCTAACTTCTAATGCAGTCAGAAGCAAATGGACTCATGCCAATCTATAACCAATGAAGGTGGCTACAACGTACTGATTTCTTCAAATGTCTTACAAATTACATTCCTTGCATGACGATTGTAACTGTACAAATGTTATGCAATATATTGCATTTAAAGTAAATATACAACGTTTATTCTATTAGTCAACTACTCACCAACTTTTTATAGTTTAAATGGTTTGCTTTTGATAAATTTTGGTAAATTTGTTGCTATTTGTTCAAATACAAAAAATTTGGTTAAGTACTTAAAAATTAATTTGATATAAATATGCTATCCAATTGACTATATTTAAATGCCAGGCCATAATTAAAAGTTTCAGGAGACACAATCATAATCACTCAGCTTCCTAATACTACTTCCTCGAGCCCCCCCCTCCAAAAAAAAATCAATGATGCTAGATATGGGAAAAACTGATAGGAACAAAAATGATCACATAAACAGATTGCTATTTCTTATGCTCCCCCTAAAAAGAATAAAGATAGATATCTTCTTTGACAAAAATAAAAAGAAAGCAAAAGACTGCTAAATCATTAATTAAATGTTTTCTATTAAGTATGTTTATGGTTGACATGGAATTATTTATACCAATGGGTGAAATTGACAAATTCTCTGAGTTGGGTAAGAATTATGGATTTTTTTTAGAATTATGGATTTTAATGTAAAACATTTTCAACCAAATCGGATACTATAAGAACAAATCATACTTCTAGAAACTCTCCACCAATTATCTGGTCTCAGATATGAAGAATTAATCTGACTGAATAAATATCAGAGTTCCTAGTCCATGCTATTCCTCCCCTCACAATCCCCCAGAAAACTAAAAAATGATTAAGCATCTATGGAAGGAATATATTCTACAATGACTGGATAAATTAATTAGAGGACTAGAACAAGAAACTATTACTATTTCAATAATGAGCAGTCTATAAAATATCTGAATTCCATAAAAGAGATGTTGAATAGCTTATTTTAAATACCACAACCTGCTCCACTGACCATGCCAAATTAGGTAGTGAGTAAAGGTGCCTGGAAAGGCTTTAATATCCTCTCCACATTAGTCCAGCAAGCCTAGAAAGCAGTAACTACTTAACGTCATGGGAGTTCTACAACAGGCAACACAGCACACATTACACAAGACCCAAGTCCAACTAGAGCTCTACTATCTGCTAGGAGCAGCTAATATCTACCAGGCGTTACAGATAGTACACTCATAAGTTAGAAATCTCTAGAAATTTTAAGTTACACTTATATTTGGAAATCTCTGTGGAAAATAACTATGGTCTTCAAATGGGGATGGAATTAAGAAACAAAGGAGATAGAAGCTTAAAGGTAGCTGGGATGAAATGGAAAGAACTGTGAGTTTGCATAGGAAAGACCAGTGATACTGGTGGTCAGGGAGCAAGTGAAAGAAAGGATGTCATGTCTCATAAGACAAGGTCCCAAAGGAGAACTATAAAAAATTATTGAACAGAAACACAAAGCTGTCCATTTTGTGGTGGGAACACTGTAACATGGATGCTGTACACATATGCCAGTGAACTGGGCACAGAACTATGAGATAAAGTTCAGTTTCTTGCTTTCTTTCCTCTTTCTTTTCTTTCTTTCTTTCTTTTTTTTCTTTCTTCTTTCTTTCTTCTTTTTTTTTGATATAGTTCAATTTCAAAGCAGAACCAAAGGCAAAAGAAAGAAAATAAAAACTTATGTAACAGTTAAATTTTATGAAAGTTGGAATCCTTTCCAGAGATACATACTGAATTCCAGCACACAGAACAGAATAATTTAACTCTGCAGTGTGGAGATGACTTAATCCTGAAGCAAAAGACAAAAGAGAGTCTACTCTTCACTCAGCAATGTCACTGCAGTGGTGGTGGTTCCAGAACAACTGAAACTTGCACGAGAAAAACTAGGCTCTTAAGAACTGAAGACAAACTGTAATTTGTTTTGAAATTATTAGGGATTTAAACAGTTATATTTAAAAATTTTAAAGTAGCATATTTCTAATTGCCCACAGGCAATGGGAGTATGAAAATAACATTTAAAAATACAGGAAGGTTTCCATTTCCAAACATACAGATTAGTAGATATCCTGAAAAATCCTCCTGCTACAAATCACCTCACTGAACATAAGAGAACAAAGACCTTGTTTCTACATTTCAACAGTGAGAGAGAATGAGAAGAGAAAGGAAGGAAGAGACAGAGAGAGAGAGACAGGGAGGCTAAAAATGAGGAGACAATTGCAAATGTAATTGTAGCTAAATTCCTGATTGATTTCACATCCATCCGAGCATTCCAGAATGTTCTAACTTAGCAGCCTACAGATAAGGGGAATAAGCCTTAAATATGTTGAAGAAAAAAACTCTGTAAAAAAAATGAACCAAGAAAATAATTTAGTCACAAAGGGAAAATAACAAGAAAGCTTCTCTATCAAAAGCTGGGGAATAAAAAGAGCTGAAAGGGGAAGAGGGAGTGGAAGGATGGGGATAGCAAAACCTCTGTAAATTGTTACACGATGATTGACCTTCAAGAGGGAGGACAATGGTACCTGTACCCACTGGCCCAAAATCTAAGTGCACTGCTTTAGGGAAAAGAGAGAAGTAACCATTAGCATAGCTGGTGAGACCCTACAGACTATAATAGAAGGAGCAAAATCATAAAATACCTCCTTTAGAAGGGAGGGAAAAAAGTGGAGCTGGCACACAAAGCCCGAACATTTCAGAGCACTGTTACAGAGAAAAGGACTGAGTTGCTCTTAACACTTGCTGTGATTCTCAGCACCCAGCGTGGATCTATGGAATTGAAAGAAGGAATACAATTCTAAGACATTCCCCCAGGACAGAATTAGAGGAATTAAGCAGGCACATCCACAGAAAAGGTTTGAGAGACTCCCCGTCTGACCCCACAAAGTCTCTAGTCTGGTCATTCCCTTCTAAAGCAAGACCATAAAGATTGGAAGAAGTGACAATTTCTTTAAATGTGCAGGTACCAACCATGGCTACTATCATCAAAGAAATCAGGGAAATATGACACCAAAAAAACTCCAATAGCAGACTATAAAGATATAAATATCTATGAATTGCCTAACAAATAATTTAAAATAATCTTAAGGAAGCTCAGTAAGCTACAAGAAAACACAGAGGTAATAAATGAAATCAGAAAAATAATACATGAACAAAATGAAAAGTTCAACAAAGCAACAAAAAACAATAAAAAAGGACCAAATAGAAATTATGGTATGAAGAATATAATGATTGAACTAAAAAATTCAATAGAGAGCTTGAAAGGCAGACTCAATCAAGCAGAAAGGGAATCCATGAACTCAAAGACAGATCATTTGAAATTATCCAATCAGACAAAAGGGGAAAAAAAAAGAGTGAAGAACCTCTACAGGACTTATCTGACATCAACTAAGTCAACATATGCATTATAGAGGTCCCATAAGTATAAGAGAAAGACAAAGAAATAGAAAGCTAATTTAAGTGAATAATACCAAAGAACTTCCTAAACCTGGGAAAAGAGACAGACATCCAGATTGATGAAGCTTTAAGAATCCCAAATGAGTTGCACAAAGGGGACTACCAAGGACACCAAGAAACGTTATAACTGAATTGTCAAAATTCACAAAGACTGAATTATGAAAGCAGCTGGAGAAAAAGAACCAATCAAACAAAAGGTACCCCCCCACCCTATGATACTATCAGTAGATTTCTCATTAGAAACCTTGCAGGCCAGAAAAGTGTGTAATAATTCACTCAAAGTGCAGAATGAAAAAGAAACTACCAGTCAAGAATACTATACCCATCAAAACTTCCCTTTAAAAATTAAGGAGCCCCCGGGTGGCTCAGCAGGTTAAACATCTGCCTTCAGCTCATGATCTACAGGCCCTGGGATCCAGTACTGCATCAGGCTTCCTGCTCAGTGGGGAGCCTGCTTCTCCCTCTCTCTCTCTGCCCCTCCTCACTGCTTGCTCTCTCTCTCTCTCTCTCAAATAAATAAATAAAATCTTTAAAAAATGAAGGAGATTAAAAAAAAATGAAGGAGAGATGAGAATTTTCCCAGGCAAACAAAAACTGAAGAAGTTCGATACCATCAGAAGTCCCAAAATCTGAGTAGAACACTGCCTCACAAGAAGTGTTAACCAGAGTTCACCAAAATGAAATAAAAGGATGCTAAATAGGAACATTTTTAAAAAATGAAAGTATAGAGATGCCTGGGTGGCCCAATTGGTTAAGCATCCAACTCTTGATTTTGGCTCAGGTTTTAATCTCACAGTGATGGGATCAAGCTCCACACTGGGGTCCATGCTCAGCA